ACTGTCCCATACAAAACTTCCATTTGATTACTTGTGTGAAGAAAATTTTCCCTGTTTTTCTTGGGAGAAGTAAATTTTTTTCTCAGTGTACACACACACACACACACACATACACGCTTCCATTCAGAAGAAAAAATCAAGAAATGTTTGAAAGCAGGTGCAACCACTTGTTTATAACAAGAAATGATTGAGTATGAATCATTTCAAATTGTTCAACTATACCGTGGAGGGAAAATTTGATAATTAAGAATATCCACGACTATAGGATCCCATCATCACCCTAATTGCTTATTTCTTCCATAATTTCTCTCTATTCTAAAATCTCAATAGAGCACAAGGGGTAGACGCAATCAGTGTGATCATCTTTCGAAACGTAATATTTCGCACTCTGTAATTTAGCACTGCATCCTTCAGTCTTTACTCAGTGCAGCGAGTCGTTAAGAGTGCCACTGGTTTCATCGTGAAAGTGACTTTAAATACATAATTATAAAATTCTTACTTTTGAATTAAATTAAAATCGCGAAAAATGGAATGATCCATCAATTAAAAACGATTAAATTAATCTCAATGATGCAAATTCCATCCAACTCCATCTCCATCCACCATTGTGGCCTGGGGTCACAAGGGTCCGACAGTTTATTGTCACCGAGGAGTTGAATAAATAAGGGATCAACAATTGTTAAAAAAAACAAATAAATAAATCGCGAGAAGAATTGTCCGAAAAAAAAATTATTTCTGTCATTTTCACCTTCGTTGAGCGTTTTATCATCTTCTGGGAGTCGAATAGACGAGGAATCGACGTTTGTTTGACAAAAAAATTCAAACCCTCGGCTGAAAACCCCAAATCACGATTGTCGTCGGGGATGGAAACAAGAAGAGTAAATTTACTCTAGAGATATTCGACCTTGAATTCAAATCGCGTCTCCGGTGAGAATGCGAGTGGAGGTCGTCGATCGTCCGTGAGACTATAAACCAGATAGTACAGATGATGCCACGTGCAGTGGATCACTCCCAAAAAGTGGCTGAATATCCTCGTATGTGAGGATTGGAAATTCAACGGTGGGATGCACCAAAATGCATTTCGTTTCTTTATTCCCTTCGTTACTTTTCATAGTTGGAAGGGAACACAGAATGTATGATGTGAATGTAAGATGAACTTGTGAGAAAGTTCGAATGAAATTTTACCAGTAGATTTTTCTGACTTTTAATGAATGAGAAAGTATTTCATCGAAATTTACGTGAATAATCATTAAAAATGAAGAATTCATCTCGAATTAATCCGTTTACATCAGCAATTAAGTTATCAAAACATTGACATGAAATTTGAAATTGGAATATTTGACACTAATAAATTAACGTAAAAGTTCAATGAAAATCAACATTTTTAATCTAAAAATCGGTATAAAAAAACATTAAAATTTAATTTTTTTACTCATTATATGTAAAAAAATCTAGAAAAGTTTTAAAGCAAATGCCAACATCTGTTTATGAGAAGAAATAATTGAGTATGAATTATTAGTAATTTTTCAACTAGATTGTGGGGGAAAAATTGATAATTAAAAATATACAAAACGTGAACGGAATATGAACCGCCAATTTTTCGCATTTCCTCGCATTCATAAACCAACATTTCTCGCAAAAATGAGAAATAAAGTAACTTTAATGAACTTTAAATGGCACTTACCTAAAATAAATAATTAATCTCCCGCGCTAAAATAAAAACAAGCAACTCCCGTTCCCATTCTTATGGACTTCAGGGGCCGATGCAGTTTCCTCTTCTCGGCGAACAAGTAATTAAAAAAAAATGAGTAACAACACAATCTTGAGGGGAAGGGCACGAGCCTTGGGCAAACTCAATGGGTTGAACGCACTCTGAACACTGGACTCTCCACCACCTGGCGAGCTTGACTGCCGGCCATGCACTGCCAGCAACAACAACAAGTTGTCTGAGGTACTTTTACCTCAGGAATTGGATGGTCTTCTGCACATTTACTCGGTTCTGTTCTCCTTCCTTTCTTCCTGGGGGGGTTTTTTTTTTCAAGTGGCCGAAGGTGAGCATTGACTCGTCGGCGCGCAATTCCTTCCGGGTCGGAGGTGCTTAACACTCGTCCAGTTGGAGATCACCTGTTACTAGCGAACATGACTATTTGCCATTCATTTTAACAATATTTTTATCGCGAATTGACAAACTCGGATATTTATTTAAATGAGAATGTTCCAATTACATGAAATGAATACTGAATTCATTCCAAATAAAAGATTATTATTACACGTTGATAAATTGACTCTTCAAACTTTAAACAATTCCTTCATTTATAAATAATTAAGTCTTTATTTGAATCAATAAAACATTTATTTATATTTAAAAAATGCATATTCGATGGGAATAAAAATACGAACAAAAGTCAATACAATTTTTTCTATTGAGACATTTTCCACAGGAATTTCTCGACATGAATTTCCAAGTTTTTTCCACTCTGTTGTTCTCCTCTTCATGAAAAATTCAAACAAAAAAACCTAGAAAATTTGAACCGAGGAATTTCCATTCAATATTTCCGTAGAAAGAAACGCATAAACAAGGTGCCGATTTCCTCAATAGAATCGTCCAAAAACTAATAGAAAGTTCAATACTAATCTAATAGAATTTTTTAGTGAATTCGCCAGGCTTTTTCTACAAAATTTACTCGTACATATCGATTCAAATAGACGAATTTTCTAGGTGTAGTCAGCACTTACACTGCATCTTTCATCACAGGATTTCTGCATAATAAAAAATTATGCGCACATGAAGGGCACCGCAACAACGGGCTATGAAACAAAATTTTCTTATTATCCATCTTTATATATTTCTTCTGCCCGCTTTTTACGATCCGAACGAGCACTTCCCACACTTTACGACGTATCCATAGCGGTTACACGGATTCACCACTCACCTATATCCCACTGATACGAGGATGCTATCCTAATCGTTCTGACTTCCATTCCCCTCCTATCGCAGCATCGTCGCAACAATGAAATATTTATTGTGGAAACGAGGTTGAAGAAAGGCCTTCGGAGGCTTGTTTACGTCGTTATCAAGCGTGGAAAATATCGAGGCATCAAACTCGCTGCTGGTGAGATACATATTTATTGTTTCAAGAGGTTTTTAGTGTTTTGAATGGAAAGAATGCATTTAAAAGGATATGAATAGTTGGTGAATTGGGCCAAATGTCTGGAAGTTATGGACATTGATAACTTTATGGAAAATATCACGCACGAAAAATTCCATCAAAAAACGTGGAAAATTCGATAGAAAATTCTGAGTCTTTAGTTGATTCTATTGAATAATTCCGCGGTTATACTAACCCTTTTTTTACAGAAAATGTCGAATAGAAACCATTTTGTAAATAAAACAGAAGAATTACATTTTACTACGTGATTGCTGCTATTGAGACGTTTTCTACAGGAAATCGTTTTGTCGTGGTAGTTGGTTCTGTAACATTTGTTTTATTTGAATTTCATCTCCTTCTGAAGCAATGTTAAATGCAAATTGATTGATAACATTTAATTCGCAATTTTCAATTTGATAATTCACATTATACATGCAATTACAATGCTTTCGCCTCTTCAGCAAATTCCCCTCGATTCATAGCAGCAGACTATTTCCATTAATTAACAAATATACGTTATAACCATTCATTAATATTCAAATTAACAGATAATTATTGTTCCGTGGCAACGAAGTATTAAAAACTAAATGTATAAATCATTCATCAGTAATGTGAGAATATTACTTGAAGGCTTAATTATCACGAATTCCGTGAGTCTGTAACAGTCAACTCCACTGGTTATACAAACTGTAACTGTCTCAATATTCCAAATCAATCTCTCCCCGTGAAATACTCAAGTGTATCTAGTCAGATTTTTAATTCAAAACAACCATTTTCAATCAATCATCTGCAACTTGGTGCACAATTTCTGATCGTTTTAAGTTATCACGGACGAAAAAATTTAATAGAAAAACCTATCGAATTCGTTAGAAAATTCTATTGAATTTCTATTGAACTGTTCTATTAGCTTTTGGCCGATTCTATTGAAATGTTCAATAGAAAATATTCAGTAGAAGAAGTCAATCGAATTCAATTTTTCTATATAACTTATTCTATTGAGATATTTTCTATAGAATTTCCTCGGCTCAAATTTTCCAAGTTTTTTTCACTCAATTTTTTTTGTTGAAAATATCTCAATAGAATAAGTTAGAACAATTGAATTCTATTGACTTTTTCTACTGAATATATTCTATTAAATATTTCAATAGAATTGGCCAAAAACTAATAGAACAATAGAAATCAATAACAAAACCAATAAAAGAAGGTTTCAATAGGAATCAATGGAATTCAACGAATTCCATTGATTCAAGGGGGGGGGGCAAAATCGTAAAAACTCGAAAGGGTATACGAAAAGGAAAATATTTGTTCTATTAAAAATTGAAAAATTTATAATTTTTTTCTATTTCTTACTGTGTTTATCTAGAAAAATCACTGCATTGGTAAATTTCATCTCGACGTTATTCTCATAATTTTCCATTACAAAAAAATATTAATATGAGAAAAATAACATCGAACAATTGTACTTCTCTCTTTATATCATCCAAAATTAACAATCCGTCCTAAAATTATTCAAACCCCTCGACTCCCACCTTATCTACATTACATTAGAAATGTTCCAGTGATTCAAATATCAAAGTGTAGAATAATCAGTTCGAAATGTCGAAGTTGAAGATTTGCATTTCGCAGCCGATAAAAATTTGAATAAAAAATTCTAGGTCAACTCCACCTGTCATTCACATTCTCAAACTCATCCGGAAAGCGTATTCCCTACCTTATCAGTGCGAGGAAATCACGCGGAAAAATTATCGATTGAACTCTGTACCACGTGAAGTCTCGAATGTCAAACGTCGCCGCTTGTAATTATTCATCTGTACGGTTTGTACTTATCGTTGTTTATTGATGTTGTAATAGATCATGGGAACCCCCGGGAAGATTCAGAAGCTTGATGAGGTCGTGGTGAACAGAATTGCTGCTGGGGAGGTCATTCAAAGGCCGGCCAATGCTCTCAAGGAATTGATCGAAAACAGGTTAGATTTTTTTCGATATAAATCACTTAAAAACCTGTTGATTATCCGATTCAAAACTACATGATAAGAATTATTTTCAACAATCCTATGAAGAAATGGCAAAACAGTAGAGAAAACTCTTGAAAACAATTATTATCTCTCTCAAGATAATTATTCATAATTATTGAGGGTTGACTTGAGCAGATTGTGATTATTAGTGGATGGCTAGACACACCCTAGGCAGACCCTAGTCAGGCGACTTATGGTTCTTTTTTATAACCTATAATTTTGTTTATTTACTGGGGCGCTACGCCCCCTGCTTGCTCCGCTCTCCAAATCCTCCCCATATGATCCCCAACATCCTTATTCTGACCTTTGTAACCCTTATTTTGACCCTCGTGACCCTTAATTATGGATTGTGTGCTTCGCGTTACGCACTTGAAATTTACTTTACGCACGTCTTTTGTACTTGTAAGCAAATTAAATAAATGAATAAAGTAAATTTTTCGTGATATCTCCCTGAAAAGTGCACTTTTCGAAACGGTTTAGCGTGTGTCAAGCGGTTGTTTTTCGCACGGCGTGCGTAAAATAAATTCTCGTGCGTAAAGTTTCGCTTTATGCACTCGTGCAAAAAAACAACCACATTAGCCCGACTATCGTTCCAAATAGTGAACTCGGCAGATATCTCAAAATACTAAATTTGGATACGAGTGCGTAAAAGTGTTTATTAAATGCGAGTGCTGCCCTCCCAAGGAATAAACAGCACTTTTCTCACGAGTGGCGAACCTTATGTTTCATCAAGATATGTAGAAAGCTTTGGGTGCGCAAAATTTCACTTTTTCACACAAGTCATGAAATAGTATATTATCTTACTAGTACGTAAAGTTTCACTTTTTCACACGCACGTGCAACACATTCCATTTTTTGTAATACCTGCCGAGTTCACGGTTCGGAACGCTAGTGGGGGTAAAGTGGTGGTTTTTTGTGCACGAGTGCTTAAAATTCGGGAGCGTGCGTAAAGTGAATTTTTCGGCAGGTATCACAAAAAATAGGATGTGTTACACGTCCGTGCGAAAAAGTGGCACTTTACGCACTAGTAACACAATATACTCTTTGAGCCGCGGGAGGTGACACTATTCTCACGAGTCTCAAACCCTATTTTTCATAACGATGTGCATAAAATTTCCCTTTACGTACAAGTGATGAAAAATAGGATGTGTTACACGTGCGTGCGAAGAAGTGAAACTTTGCGCCCTAGTAACACAATATACTATGTCATCACTCGTGTGAAAAAGTGAAATTTTGCGCACGCGAAGCTTTACTGAGCACCCAAAACCCCGGGAAAAAAATTTACCCTAAAATTCCAGTCTCGACGCGAAATCGACGAACATCCAGATAACCGTGAAGGACGGTGGTCTGAAGTCCCTCCAGATCCAGGACAATGGTACGGGAATCCGCAAGGATGACCTTGCCATCGTCTGCGAGCGTTTCACAACGTCGAAGCTCAAGAAATTCGACGACTTGAAATCCATCTCAACCTTTGGTTTCCGAGGTGAGGCCCTGGCGTCGATGAGCCACGTGGCCCACTTGACCATCATCACAAAGACAATTGAAGACAAAGTGGCTTACAAAGCTTTATACCACGATGGAAAGCTCAAGGGGCCTCCAAAGCCGCTCGCTGGTAACCAGGGGACAACAATTCTCATAGAAAACCTCTTCTACAATGTTTCAACGAGAAAGAAAGCCCTGGCAAGCCCCTCGGAGGAGTTCTCCAGGATCTCAGAGGTCGTCACAAAGTACTCGATTCACAATCCAACTGTTGGATTCACCCTGAAGAAGCAGGGAGAGGCACTTCCGGCCGTTCGAACCCCCCACAATTCCTCGAAAATCAGCAACATCAAGATCCTCTATGGGAGCAACATCACGAGGGACTTGTTGGACATTGAACTCGAAGACGAGAGCCTCCAGTTCAGGATGCACTGCCTCCTGACGAACCCCAACTATTCCAACAAGAGATTAACATTCATTTTATTCATAAATCATCGACTCGTTGATTCGTCACCCATGAAGAAGATGCTGGAGGACCTGTACTCGATCTATCTTCCCAAGAAGACCCACCCCTGGTGCTACCTGTCGCTCGACATAAACCCTGGAAATATCGATGTCAATGTGCACCCCACGAAGCACGAGGTTCGTTTCCTCCACGAAGACACCATCATCGAGAGGGTGAAGGTTGCCCTGGATGAGCAGCTCTCCAAGAGCAATTCCTCCAGGACTTTTTATGTTCAGGCTAGACTACCGCAAGTGGACATCACCAAGGACGTCCTGGAGAAGGTTCTACCAGAGTTCGATAAAGAGAAGAGGAAAGTTTGTGCCAAGGAGATGATCAGGACTGATGCCAGTGATCAGAAACTAGATAAGTTCAATTTTACTGTTACGAAAAGCGATGGAGGTAGTGATTCCATGAGAATTGATGAAGAAATTGAGGATAAGAATGGAAATGCAACTGCAGGGATTGAGGATAAAACTCCAGAGACTGGAAATGAGGAGAAAAATGAGGAAAACGAGGAAATTAGGGAGAGAAAGGTGTCTTCCTGCATGTTTGCAACTCCTAGAAAGGAATTTCTCGTGGATTTCGAGCCGGAAGGGCTTGAAGAGGGCCTGAAAACTCCGGAAAACCCCAGGAAACTGGTGAATTCACACTGGAGTTCCCTAGTGGACGAACCCACCAGTGAATCCTCTCAGGAAGGTCCGAGGGTGGTGGAGTCTGCTGCACCTCCTAAAGAGAATTACGAGGGAGGGGCCATTCTCCCTAAAGAAGTCCTTGAATTATTCAGCTCGGATGGGGAGAGCTCCAACGACACACCAGCCCCTCCAGACATCAACTCCAGTGTTGCTGATAGAGCGCTGAAGACTGTCTTCAAGTGCTTTGGGTCTCAGAGGTCTTCAGATGAGGATAAATCGTCTCGGCAAGAGGGAAATAACGAGAATAAAGAGTCGGATGTTTTGAATGGCTCGAAAAATGGAGGGGCTGAGGGAGATAAGACCCTGACACCTGAGAAGAATGAGAAGATGGGGTCCAGTGGTGGGAATGCTCCTGGAGGTGCGGAGGATCAGACTTCCTCTAGAAAACCTCCAGAATTCAAGTCTTATTCTGTGAACAGCACCAGAAGGGAAGTTCGACTGACGAGTGTTCTGAAACTTCGAAAGACTGTTGAGGATAATTATCACGAGGGCCTTAGGAACATCATCTCGGGGATGACATTTGTTGGATGTGTCGATGAGGAACTTGCTCTGGTACAGAGCGATGTGAACCTCTACATCTGCAATACAGCGAGACTTGCGTAAGTTGCTTCACAATATCATGTACGAGTAAAAGTTGATGGAAAAACCTAGAGAATTCGATAGACAATTTTATTGGTTTTCTAGTAGCTTTTGGATTATTTCTTTCTCAATCGAAATGTTGAATGGAAAATATTCTACGCAAATTATTTTTACCAGCCTGAAACTGCTTTAGTGATTGCCAACTTGCTCTGCGCACTTATTTTTATTCCTGCGCTATTGTATTGCTTATTGCATCATCCCCTCCCCATTTTCAATAAGGGTTTTGTATCTCTTACGAAATAAATTACTACATGAGAAGAGATGAAAAATTAAGTAAAAAAAATCTTCCAGAAATAATTCATCAACCGTGCAGAAACTTTCCTTTTCCGTATCTCCTCTCAGCCAATAACGGGCCAAAAAGCGGTATTAATCCAATTTAAATGCAAAAAAAGTGAAGAAAACAACTGCTTGGTTTCCTTGTGCCAACGTTTCGAGCTCTCAAAGAGCTCTTCATCAGGGCAAAAAATCATTTAATTCTGCGCCGAAAAAACGTACAAATGAAATTTACATCCAGTTTAAAGATTGCTATAACTATTTTCCGTGTGGAATTCACGATCAAAAATACATTAAATAAATTACTAATACTTTAATTTAATTAGTTATAGCAATCTGTAAACTGGGTGTAAATTTCATTTGTACGTTTTTTTTTGGCGCAGAATTAAATGATTTTTTACGCTGATGAAGAGCTCTTTGAGGGCTCAAAACGTTGGCACAAGGAAACCAAGCAGTTATTTTCTTCATTTCTTTGCATTTAAATTGGATTAATACCGCTTTTTGGACTGTTATTGGCTGAGAGGAGTTAGGGAAAAGGAAAGTAAAAAAAATACTGTCGAAGAATTTATATAAAAAATATCTGAATAGGAAAAGTTGTGCAGAAAGATTAAATTTGGATTTTGTCTGTTGGACATTTCGTATTAAAAAAAAATCATCAATAAAATCAGGCAAAAACTCGTAGAATATTCAACAGCGACGAATTCGGAACAAAATGCAATAGAAGTAATTATTTTGTTATGGGGATGTTGATTTCCTCGTGGTCCTTTAATCACTGACATAATACTGCAGTTTAGTGTTTCAACGAGTGAAAGTTATCCTCGGATTATGCATATTCAGAACTAGATCCACAAGACTATTTTCGTCATTACCTAAGATCTACTTTCATGAATCAATTAATGGAAGCTGTTTTTTTAGGGAGGAACTTTTTTACGAGATCATGCTGTACGATTTTGCTAATTATGGCGTCATCAAATTCTCGGTGAGATAATACACTTTTTTCATGCAAAAAGTAATCATTTGTATTGAATAACTGCTTAATTACCCGATAATTTTATCAATTAAATGTAAAGAATGAGAATTTTATAATGAAGAATATCTTTTTCTTGATTAAAAAATAAAGATTCTTAAATAGTTATTCTCGAATCGAGAATGTCGGGACATAGAGGAAAAATCAATTGATTAATTCTGTTGATCAATTAATTAATTATCGAACAAGTTCATTAATTACATATAAAACAATAGAATTCTACAATTGTCAATATCTTCTTCTTAATTGAAAAATAATCACTCTTGAATGTTTCTTCTGAATCCTCAAGAGAAAAAGAAATGCTCAATACTTTCAATCAATTATTCCTTCTCTCATTAAAAACAAATTATTCAGGAGCCCCTACCCATCTACGACCTAGCAATGCTAGGCCTCGAGACCGAGGAAGCTGGTTGGGACGAGGGAGATGGCCCCAAGGAGGAAATAGCCTCCAACGTGAAGGAACTCCTCCTGGAAAAGGCAGAAATGCTCAAAGAATATTTCGCAATCGTAATAGACAAGAGGGGAAACCTGCGCTCCCTCCCCGTACTCCTCCAGGACTACTTTCCAAATCAAGCTGAGATCCCTCTGTTCATCCTTCGGTTGTCAACAGAGGTCGAATGGTCTGTCGAGCAGACATGCTTCGACAACATCTGTCGTGAAGTCGCTAAATTCTACAGCAAAGTAGACACGAATAATCTCCAGCAGAACTGGAAACACTTGACTGAACATGTGATCTATGATGCTATTAAGGAGAGCCTGTTGCCACCTAAACATTTCTCCCACGACTCGACTATTCTCCAAATTGCTAGCTTACCTAATTTATATAAAGTGTTTGAAAGGTGTTGATCGTTTATTAATCACTGGTTGTTAATTTTTTTGTAATCTTGTAATAAAATCTCTCTGTGAAACGAATATCTATTTAATTAATCAATTGAAGGAAGGGGCAATAAAATGTAACAGAAATTTAAAATGAAAAAATGGCTAGGAGCTGGATAGCTCAGTTGGGAGAGCTCTCGAACGTCTGTAGTGGTTTTTCAAGAAAACTGAACATTTTCCCCTGTCATAGTACCAAAGCTCCTCCACAACCTTCATAATAACAGGCACCACCATTCTACTGCTAGCCATATCAATCTAATGATCTGTAATGCACGAAAATCAAGAAAACAATTTTGACTTATGAGATGCTCTTAACACTAGCCATGTAAGTTCTAATATTTGTACTCTGTTGCGTGATTTAAATTTTGGTGTATTCTTTTAATTGTTTATTTAACGCCTTCATCCAAAAATTTGTGTCAGTTGATAAATAAACATTATGAAAAAAAAGGAGAGCACCCGATGCATAATCGGAAGCTCCCGCGTTCACCATCCCGATCTGGACTATCCATTTTTTTCAGTAAAAATTTTCTGGTTATTCATATTGAGAATAATCCAGGTTACCCTTCTTCCTCATCCAAATCCTGTCCAATCATTTCCTACGACGTCACAAAGATGTGGAACGCTATATAAATTCCTTTCTTTGATGTGTTCATGGAAATAATATTCCATCAATAATATTTCTCCACCGCATTAGTGGTCAATGACCAATATAAAATTTTGATTTTGATTTTGATCTATAATGAATGATCTATAATCCTAGTCATGCTGATTACTTTTTTAATCACTAATGCATTAATGTTTTGCATTAATGGACCCCTTTTCGGTCACGAATTCAACAGAACGTATGTTTTATTACCTTGTTATTGAATGATGGTATAATGACGTCAATTTTCATGAGTCATCTAATCACGTATTCATTGAGATTCTATTATGAATTGTATTTGTTTTTTCCTCAAATCTCCTGTGGTTTTATAGAAAATACCTCAATGTCAAAAGGAAATAAGTTTTTATTTTCGTTCTCAGTGGATGCATCCATCACGATCCAGCCTAGTCACAACACTTTCGTGTGACAAAAATGTAAATAATTAAATAATAAAGGGGGTATCTCGTAATTCTCTTTTTAACTTCCCGACAACGGAAGTTATTCTAATTACCATGACAATGCATTTTTTATTTTTCATCAAAAAGTCAACTTCCATTTACGTCTTTTTCATTTAAGACCGAACTTGATACCCCAAGATTAGACTGAGGAAGTACCTTAAAAAGGTTACAGGACATTTCATCCCGAGACATTTCATTCCACATGTACAGATGACAGAGCTACCAGAATCAAAGACAGCTGAATGACAATAAAGGACAACAAACGAATTATCCCTGTCACTCAACGCACTCCACAAAAACAATACATCAATACACATCCATATCACTTATCGATACACAAGACGGATCTTACAATTTACTCCGATGTTTCAGTATAGATATTCCAACTACGAGGAACAAAAACACGATTTGAGAATCAAGTCTAACAAAATAAATTGCACATGGTATTGAAATTTGCCAAACCCAAAGAGGGCAAAAAACATTGATCGTTGATGCGCACACATTTTATAAACACACCTACGGTTCAGGTAAAGTGATATGGAAATGCAGTACCTATTAGAAAGGATGCAGAGCACGCTGTCATTACGAATTCATGGTAATTTCATCTTAATTGTTTCATGATAAAATAAAATGCGAATAAAATAATCAAATGGAATATCAATTTTTATAAAAAATTTCTTCTGAAGTCTTTTTTTTCAAGATTTTTTTCCAAAATAAGGATGAAATAACCCTAGACTGAAATGGGAAGCTGAAATGTCCCGGGTTGAAAAATTTCGGGGATGAACTGTCCTATTACCCCTTAAAAAGGGGCAAAAGTTTCAAATTTTTGTGGTAAATAAATACTGTCTGACATTAGATCATCGACATTGAAAGAGAAGAAGTGGGAAAAATATTTGTGGTTGTGGAAATGAGCGATTATTATAGTCACTGGGTGGTACGGACACCGCTCCTCCCACTAGCCTTCCAACAAACACTATATAAAAGACGACTAATTGAAATGTCGCAGAAAGTGAGACTTCAGACTTCTTCAAAGATGGGCAACTTCCTACTCATCTCAGTTCTCATTTTTGTATCAACATCTTCACCCACGACACAAGGTTCAAACGCCATTGTAGATACGTACTTCAATTTCGTGTCCTGCAAGACGATCGACACCCCAGATCACAATGTGTGCCAAGTGACGCGAAATTCGTCCCATCTAGTGCAAATCGCTCAGAATTTCACAGACACAGGCAAATCACCGGTGAATTTGACATTTTACCCCATTGACGATTCGTTCTGCGCTGGATGGCCCCCAGTAGTTGTCCGACTTGAGGAATTTCCCGAATCAATTAAGGTGAAGTCTCTAAGTCTGCAGTGCACGAAATTACAAAAAGAATTGGATTACGCAAAACGCCAGAGTCTCGCGAAAATTGTCCTAATCAATAATAGTTTAACGGAATTTCCTACAGAATTTTTGAGAGATATTCATAATCTGCAACACATAGAAGTGAAGGATCAGCAAATCAAGGTTTTATCTCCCAGCTCGTTTGCCAACATAACGGATAAACTGAAGTATCTCAGTTTAGAAAATAATCAGCTGGAAGTCATTGAGCCAAAGACTTTCACACAATTTAGCGGCCTGATCATCCTGGACTTGGAGAACAATAACTTGACAATTCTAGGCCCCGATATGTTTTCCGGTCGTTTGGAAAAGCTTTACTTGAACTTTAACGATATTCATACGATAAAACCTGAAACTTTCGCCAATCTAACGGATAAACTGAATTATCTCGGTTTAAAAGATAATCAGCTGAAAGTCATCGAGCCAAAGACCTTTACGCAATTGAGCGGCCTGATCACCCTGGACATGGATGGAAATGGCTTGGAGATTCTACATCCTGATATGTTTGCTGGTCTTGATAATTTGGAGACGCTTTACTTGGGCTATAACCAAATCCATACGATACAACCCGGAACTTTCGACAATATAGCGAATACACTGAAGTCTCTCGATTTTCAATGGAATCATCTTCAAGTCATCGAGCCAAAGACTTTCATGCAATTGAACAACCTGATCGACCTGGACTTGAGGAAAAATCGCTTGGAGACTCTAGGTCCTGGTATGTTTGCTGGTCTTGATCGTCTGGAATATCTTTACTTGGCGTACAACCAAATCCATACGATAGCACCTGGAACTTTCGCCAATATGACGGATAAACTGAAGTTTATCACTTTAGCATTTAATAAGCTGAAAGTCATCGAGCCAGAGACTTTCACGCAATTCCGCGGCCCGATCACTCTGGACTTGTCGTACAATTCGTTGACGATTCTAGGACCTGATATGTTTGCTGGTCATTTGAAAAGACTCAACATCGAGAATAACAAAATCCATACGATAGAACCTGGAACTTTCGCCAATATAACGGATACACTGATGGATCTCAATTTCAACGGGAATCAGTTGACTACCATTGATTCACAGACTTTCACGCAATTGCGAGGCCTGACCAGCCTGAAGTTGAGATGGATGAATTCTTTGACGATCATAGGCCCTGATATGTTTCCTAGTCAATTGGAAAATCTTGATTTGGACGGTAACGACATCCATACGATAAAACCTGGAACTTTCGACAATATGACGGATAAACTGAGGAATGTCAATTTAGGAAATAATACGCTAGAAGTCATCGAGCCAAAGGCTTTCGCGCGATTGAGCGGTCTCATCGCCCTGAACTTGAGGAGAAATCGCTTGAAGAATCTGTGCCCTGATATGTTCGCTGGTCTTGATCATTTGGAGAGTCTTAAATTGAACAGTAACCCAATCTATCAGATAAAACCTGGAACTTTCGACAATATAGCGGATAAACTGAAGTTTCTCAATTTAAACGATATTGAGCTAAGAGTCATCGAGCCAAAGACTTTCACGCAATTGCGCAGCCTGACCACCCTAAAATTGTGGGCAAATAAGTTGACGATTCTAGGGCCTGATATGTTTCCTAGTCATTTGGAGAATCTTAACTTGGGGCGAAACCAAATCCATACGATAAAATCTGGAACCTTCGCAAATATGACGGGTAAACTGAAGAATCTCAGGTTAGACGAGAATCAGCTGAAAGTCATCTCTCCGAAGACTTTTGTGCAATTGAGCGGCCTGATCAGCCTGGATTTAAACAAAAATAAATTGGAGACTCTACATCCTGATATGTTTGCTGGTCTTGATCATTTGAAAACTCTTCACTTGGAGCATAACCCAGTCCATACGATAAACCCTGAAGTTTTTGCGGGTCTTCCTCGTCTTCGAAAATTCTTTGTTCATGAGAAATTGCTGGACGATCCGAGTCTTTATAAAGAACTTCAAAAACGCACGATGACTTGTTATACGTCGTGAATAATGTAACCATAATGTAATTTAAATATGAAGAATCTTCATTCGTATTGAATGTTTTTCCGACGAAAATTCCTGCACAGGAATCCTATTAAATATCAATATCGTGATTAAAATGTGTTGTTTCAAAATCAATTCTTTAGAAAAGACTGTTTTTAAAAAAATATAACTTACCGGGAAATTTCCCAAAATTTCGCTGGCAGAAAAACTACTTATAATGTCTCATATTTAATTTCACAGTTGTTCAAATAAGACGTATAGAAAAGGCGGAATTACCTTGTGAACGTTCATTAAAAGTAGTAATATAAGAATTTCAAAATATGTTCATAGCAACTAAATACAAGTTAACAGAAAAACCAAAGTTCATATGTCAATAACAGAATGAATTTATGTAAATCATGCAACGATGGATTAATAAAGATAATTAAAGCTACAAAAACGCCTTCAAAATGGAAGAAAATCGTGAAATTTCACTCTATCAATTTTGAATTATTAGCGATTAAAAACAGCCATTTCACCTCTACTTCAATGCCAATCAATTTTTCATCTTCAGGATTAATTTCGAAAATAAAGGAATATTATCAATTTCGACTAAAGACGAAATCGTTTATTCACCTCCAACAATATATTATGACGTTAAACCATAATAAAACGTGAAAATTCTGGAATCATAGACATTTCTAACGAAAATAATAAATTGGATAATCTTAGGAATTAATTATGCCTTGGAGACACCCACTAGTGCAGGCCGTACTATTCTCTCGTGCAGTTTGTAACCGACTTTGGAGACAACGACGACTGTTCCAGGGGCCTTGCCCTCGACCTCCTGTTGGAAGAGGGCTTCGTGCTGGTTCGGGTTGAATTTTTCATCGAGAGGGTTCAGAGAGACCAGCCCGTGCTTTTTAAACACCTGGAATTGATAATAAAAATGTCTTTCAATATTCTCCTCAAAACTCTCTAATAGATTCAAAAAACCAATGAATGTTTCCTTATAAAAAAAAATCAATAAACAGTCTAATAAAATTGAATAAACAATGTAATAATGAGAGCAAATGAATTAAAAAAATACAAAACATGATTAAGTGGAAGAATACATAAATATGTGATCACAATTTTGTTAATTCATTGTTACTGAATTCCTCCTCAATTTCGATGAACTAATAATTTTTCATAATTAATTACTTTTCAATTTCATCAAATTCATCAAATGTATGATTATTTTTCAATTTATGAAATGTACGACTATATTCACCAATGATTATTTTTCCCTCTTTTTTTAACTCAGAGGCTGAATAAAGAGCATTCAAACGAAATCAGACTCATTTTTCCCCATTGAACTTCACAATTACCTTATGCAGCTGTGACTCAGTCATTCTCAGTCCCTCATACAACGTCTTGAGATGTGGATTTCTCTCAGTAAGCTGATCCTTAGGTACACTCTCAGTGGCCTTCCCCAGGATGTCAGCCACATCGAGCAAATCCTTGCAGAATCCCTGAATCCCAAACAACTTGGCATCCTCGATCTGCTTCGTCAGTCTCACCCTCATGTTCTCACTCTCCGCAAGTGCTCGTTTGTACTTGTCCTCCAGCTCTGAATTCCTCTCCTTCAGGACCCCAATGTCCTTACTCAACTGGTCAATCTCCGACTTCAACTTCTTCTCGTTCTCTGACAAATCTTCGCTCGTCTCAGCGTTTTTCTCCTCTGTAGCTGTGCCATATCGATGTCTCTGGGTGCTGACGACTGACGTTGAGTCGCATGATCTTTGGAATAATTTTACGATCTCAATGATTAATTCAAAAAGGGAATTTTCATCTAGTTTAAGAATATCCAAGTATCTTTTACATTTTGGTATAAAACAGATTATAGAGTCAACCATTTTCAATCATCAAATTTCTCTATTAAATTGGGTGAGGAAAGTTTGAAGAAAATCATGAATATTCAGCATCATTTAAATTACATTTTGCACAGAATTATTATTTTATGTTTTGGAGTCTTTGTGTTATATCGACCTGGCAGTTTTTCTTCAATTGTTCGCTAATGAATGGATGGAATTGATTTTTTTTTCAAATGTAGGTATTGCTGAGCCCTCTCAATCGCCTTTAATTAAAATTTAATTCATCGATTAGGTTTTTTAATTTTCGAATTTTTTTGAAAATCAGTTGTCCCACGATAACAAAAAAAAATGTTCTGAATTGATTGAATAATGACTTCGAAAAATTGTTTGGATGTCCTTTTGACGGAGTTCGAAGATGAAGGCAATAGCAATAATCGTTATTTTCATTTATTTGGAAATTTCCAAAAATTTGGTATCCTTTGAAAATCAGACTTCCGGGGATATCTTTGAATATCATGCTTTAAATAAAAATTTTCTGTTAACATTTTATCGAATGGCTGAGGGGAGAGATAGAACCGTAAAAAAGACAATCGGTTGTACAGAAGAAAGGGATAATCAGAATAATGATGATGATAACATTCAATTAAGTTGAAAATCTGACAAAATTAGTTAAAAAGAAATCTTATTCAATTTAATAAAATGAAATAAACAATGAATTACACATGATAGAAGGAAATGATGTGCAAAATAGCCATTCGGAAGCATATTGCTAATTTATGAGCAAAAATAACTATACTATATGCAATGCAAGAGCAATTCCCCACTTGTTTAATTACTTCATTAATCTTACTCCAAGAGTAAAATTTCTAATATTTTTCTCTCAGATTTTAAAAATGTTTTCTAACGATAAAATCATAAAATGTCCGGAAACTTCGAGTCAGATGGAGCTCAAATGAAAGCTCTGGTGTTCAACTAAAAAATTAAAAATGCGTTTCACTGGAGAAAAAATAGCCAAAGTACTTGGATATCCTTGATTCTTTGGGAATAAACGATTCGGGGATGGAACGATGCTCCAACATTATCTAATACCTAACCTCAACACTTGGGAAATGATCTCGTGACGTTTTTCAAATGTAATTTTCAGGGATTCGAGGGGAATAAGATGGATTACTCACCTGAGAAGTGTTCTACGTGAGATCTGGTGAAAATTGTCGACTGTTAATCGAAGAAATCTCGAGGCGACCGGCAATGCCATCGATGCCATTATCAGTTCGTTTATGCACGTTTGTGAATGATGAAATTGGAATGAACTGAACCAATCCTCGTGGCCCCGGGGTTCTCATCCCATTGGCTGTTGAGGGGATAACGTAAACGATAAATCGATTTTTCATTGTGTTTTGTGAATGAGATTATTTTGGAAATGAGAAGTTTCAGCGGAAAATATGATAAAGGATTTTTTATGGAAAATTTTCTTGGCTACAAAAATGGTCTTTTGATATTTTTCCCTACGATGAGTCCTTATGGAGATAAATTGAAAAACGTCAGAGGTGTTTTTACTACTCAATTGATTTGGAAATGAATATTTGATATCGAAAAAATTGTTTATTACGGGTTTATCTCAAGAACAAGACGTTTTAAGAGAAAATGTAATAAATGATTTTTTAGGGCAAATTTTCTTGGCTACAAAAATGGTCTTCTGATGTTTTTTTCTAGAATAAGTCGTTATTGAGATAAATTGAAAAATGTTAGAGGTGTTTTTGCTACTGAATTAATTTAGAAATGAACATTTGATATTGAAAAAATTGTTTATTCTTATCAAGGGGCAAAATAACCAAAAATAACTTTCATCTTTTCCCATTTTCACCTGAGAACATTTGTTGCCACGATAAACAAAAAAAAATAAGGGCGTCAACCCCCCAAAAAAAGTAAAATCCACTCAACTTTGCTGTCTTTTTTTATTGGAATGAATTCGTACAATAATGAAATACCATTCCCACCAGACATTTGAGTCTGATGATTATTTATTTACAAAACTTAAACTGTGTACTCGCACGTGACGAAAATATCCATGTACCTCATCCCTTCTTCTCAGCTAGTTTAGTGTTACAAACGAGAAAATATGAGAAAACTGTTGAATAAGACATGTGTTCCATATCGATTAATTAAATACATGAATTCTTAATTGGCTGTTAACACTAAGTATTATGCCGGTGTCAGACTGAGATTTTTGATTAACGTTTGCATATGATTTCATTTGTTTTCTTCCATTCGGCTGAACTAAAATAGACTCACGATAAAAGTAAAATTCATTTTCATTACGTCTACGAGTCTATCCCTATTCCTCTCAAATCTGCGACAAGTGATTTCATAATACAATAAATATTACGAAATAATGTAACGAGAAATGCGGGAAATACTAATTGACCAACGACATGCATCTGACAAGAAAATTAAATCAGTGGATTAATATAATCGGGCTGTCAATAGATGAGTGATTTGATACTATTTTCATTGTTGTTAGCAATGACTTTTTAAAAGGCGATACAAAAATTAATCTATTCTCTCTGCCTTGATACACGTGATCGACTTTCATCACCAATTGTATAAAGTAACAATTCCATTTCTTCCCATCGTGTCGTTATGAATTTTTTTCAATAAATTTTGACGAGAGAAAGTTCAATAAAATTAAACATTAAATCGACGTTGGTATGCAGTGGACCCAAATGATAGTCGTGAATGTCTTCTTCATTGAAATGTTTTTTACAGTTTTCTAGAGGGACTCGTGGTTAGAAGCCTTCTTGATACTGTTTTGAATCTAATCTTGCTTGGATCACCTCCAATTGTCTCTTTGCCTCGCACTGAGGGAAATTCTGTAGGTCGTAGTACTGCGGGGCTATTTTCAATAGCCATTCAGCTGTAAATTGCAAATAAAAGGGTTAATTTCAATTATATTGAAAGGCAGGAATTGATTCAGTGATGATGTGACAGTTCTATTGATGATGTGAATAACTCGAGAATAAGTGATTCTGGGGTAAAATGTCAAAAAACATTTTTTGTATGATATTTTTTCAGCTATAAAAATGGTCCTTTGATGTTTTTCTCTAGGGTAAGTCGTTATGGAGATAAAAGCAAAAATATCAGAGGTATTTTTACTACTGTCTCGATTCAGGTGAAGATTCAGAATAACAAAAATAGTTACTATGGGTTTATCTCGAGAACGAGAGGTTCAAGGAGAAAATGTGAAATAACATTTTTTGCAAGAAATTTTCTCCGCTATAAAAAAGGTTCTTAGACGTTTTTTCCTGGGAAGAATCGTTTTCCGTAGAAATACAAAATTACAGAAGATGTTTTCAGTTTCCGATTTAATTAGTTGTAAATTAATAAATTATCTCCTCCAGAAAAAGTTTGAAAGAAAGACAATTGTCCTATCAATAATTTCGTACGAGTTGACACTTACGTTTTATATCAGTAACAGTTCTAATATAATTCTTCGTCGTGAGGACGAATTCATTGTATATCACCCACTCTGGTTTGTGATCTAGACAACTGCTAGGATGCAGTTGTACAATTTGATTGTCCTTTATGGTCAAATAGTGTCCAGTCCTCTCCAGATGAGCCACTTGCATGAAGAATCCATCGACAAGAGCTTTTCGAATGTTGATGTAATAGTCCTTCGACGTGAAGTCTGTGGAGGTTCTCTTCAACGAGAATCTGTCCATGATTCTGCTCAACTGTTGTCGAACATTGTCACCACTTTTCAGGGATCTGTAGTTGACGAAGTGATCGTAGCACCACTGGGGATCTTCCATGTCTGAATGAAAAGAATTCCAAATGAATATCAATACTTTCCGAAATTTTTTTTCAAAAATTTTCTGTAAAAATTTAGATATTTCGCTACAAAATTCTTAATTTTTTTCTCTAGCGAAAATTCTTCGCTAGAAAAAATCAATAGAATTCCATTCTTCCATACAACTTTTTCTGTTGAGATATTTTCTTTAGAAATTCCTCAACTAGAATTTTCTAAGTTATTTTGTTTGATTTTTCAAATGGAAAAATAAAAATGGAGTGAAAAAATTGGAAAATTCATGTCGAGGTATTCCTACAGGAAATGTCTTGTTCTACGAAATTTTTTCGTGTGTAAATTTCCTTTTTTTCAACAACTTACTCTGTTTAAAGGCGTGATAAACGTTAAGCAGGGTCAGATGATCTCCATCAATATGTGCGAATTTCATTTTAGCATCGTCAGCAGCCTTTTTAGCTTCATTTGGCCTCACAAAACACTGTGGGACTAATGCCATGTGAATCATAAATAAAAAACCAAATTTACCTCATCACTTAAAAAATCCCAACTATAATTACAACAGATCTCAATAAAAATTACTATCTATCTCAAAATAAAGATCAATCAATTCCTAAACAATAAAAATACTGTCAACAAACTTCACCTGTTCTATTGAAAAAATAGCTTTTTGTCTAAAAATGGCCAAAATTTAAACAAAAAAACGATACGAAAATTTGTTTTAAAAAGCGCATTCTCTACGAAATTCTATTGAATTTCTCGTGAAGTTCTATTAGAATTCTATTTGTTTTTTTCCCCATTTCTATAGATCATTTTGTTAAGAGATAATTAATATTAAAAAATCAATAAATTTCAATTTTTTCACTGTATTTTGATTTCTTCCTCATAATAGAATGCAAGAAAAAACAACTTTTTAAAATTCATACCCAAGAATTCTAATAGAACTCCAATACAATTATTACAGAGTTCCAATCGAAATTCACTAGAATTTCTTAAAGAAAGAGCCCTTTTTCTATAAAAAAATTTCCACACGTGTCACATTATTAATCCATTTCACGAATAAAAAATCAAAGTTCCCCCACCATTGGAAAAATCCCACCAATCCTAATCAACCCCTAACCATTGAAAATCCCCCAGAAAACTCTACCTGATAACATAGCAGTGATGCTGAGAATCTCATTACTGCAATTATGATTGCACGAAGCAATCAACATCTTCGCGAGTTGCGGATCGAGCGGGAACTCAGCCATGACAGCCCCCAGGTCGGTCAAATTGCCATCATCATCGAGAGCAGCAAGATAATTGAGCAGCTCCAGAGCCCTCATGAGTGTCTCAGGTGCCGGTGGATCCATGAAATCAAAATGAACGAGATCGTCGATCCCCAGTTTCTTCAGCTGCAAGACGACACTCCCCAAATTAGACCTGAGTATCTCAGGATAAGTGTTATCCTGCATTTCATTTTTGTACGCCTTTTCAGTGTACAGCCTGAAGCACTTGCCGGGTCTCGTTCTGCCGGCCCGTCCAGCCCTCTGCTGTGCCGACGCCTTGCTGATTGGCGACACCAGCAGCGACTCCACCCTGATCCTGGGATTGTAGACCTTCTGCTTGGCGAAGCCCGGATCAATGACAAAGACAACTCCATCGATTGTCAGGGAGGTCTCAGCGATATTAGTGGAGACCACGACCTTCCTCCCGATGGCCCCATTAGCCTTATTCGGCGGTGCAGCCTCGAATATCCTCTGCTGAAGGTTTGGGGGAAGCGTTGAGTACAGGGGAATGCACTTGAGCTCCCCCACCTCGGGCCCCAAATTATCCATTTCCCTCTTGATCCTCTTGCACGCCTCCTCGATCTCCTCCTGACCAGTGAGAAACAGCAGCAGATCCCCGGGGACGTCCTCGCACATGTGGATCTGAATGACAGTCCTGATGGCAGCCTCCAGGTAGTCCCTCTCCGGCTCCGGCGTGTAGAATATCTCCACCGGATGCGTTCGTCCAGGGACATTCATCAGTGGCGCATTGTCGAAGTACTGCTGGAATTTTCCAGCGTCCAAGGTCGCCGACATGATGACGAGCTTCAGGTCTGAGCGCTGTTTTATCACTTCCTTCAGCACTCCCATCAGCAAGTCAGTGGCTAGAGTCCTCTCGTGAGCCTCGTCGAGGAGAATCACCTGGTAGGCCTCCAGCATTGGGTCGGACATGCCCTCGCGCAGCAGCATACCATCGGTCATGTATTTGAGAACTGTCTTCGGGGAACTGCAGTCCTCGAAACGAATGCTGTAGCCCACCTGCTCGCCCAGGGGTACGTCCATCTCCTCGGAGACTCGTTGGGCCACTGACATGGCTGCAACTCGTCGGGGCTGGGTGCATGCAACACCTTTTGCGCCCATCGACATCGAGTACTCGACGCACCACTGGGGTATCTGCGTCGTTTTCCCGGAGCCGGTCTCACCCACCAGGACTATGCACTGGTGCTGGGCTAGCAGGCGCATAAAGTCCGCCCGGTACTCGAATACGGGGAGGGTTATACGCTTTTTCAGGAATTCGTAGTAACGCGGGGTGTACGGGAGGTGCGTGTAGGGGTTCAGTTGGGACGGGGCTTTGGAGGAGGCGAGCGACGGCGTCAGGGCGGACGAGGAGGATGCGGTGTCCGATCCATCGTCCCTGGAAACAAGAGATTTCGCGGTGTAATGGGGGCAAGTTGCGGAATCGAAGGCTCCCGGGTTCAAATCCCGGTGGGAATTAGTCATTTTTTCACGAGATTTTTTGTCAACTATTCTAATATTTTGGAACGTCGCACCACAAGGAGCGCTACGTTTGTTTATTTCGAAAATATTGGAGTAATTTTGCAAATTGACGAAACGTGTCGCTTGTTGTTCTATTATTGCGTCCGAATGGAAGCTTTCACCTATGGAAAAATCGTATATTGAAATTTTCTATACGGATTGTGTATAGAATTTCTATAGGATTTTCGTATGATATTCGAATATTTCTATACGGATGGTTTTATACAAATTATTTCTATACGATTTCTGTAGGTTTGATCCTGTACGACCCACTGCCACATGTATAGAAACATTTCCTATGGAGCTGCGACATTTCTCTACGTTTTTCTCTGGAGCGGTTAGACATCTTTCGTATGAAAACAAAAAATTGTGTATGGAAATAATTCGTATAGAAATATCTGAATATCATATACGGAAAATCCTATAGAGTTTCTATACGCAATCCGTATTGAAAATTTCTATACGGTTTTTGCATATGTGTTGAAAGCGTTCAAATTTATGTTTTGGATTTTTTGTGTTGTATCGATCCAGTATGATCCTAAAAGTCCGAAAATGCAATTATTAGACCTCGTCTGTACGTGCGTGTGCATGTTTGTACGTACGTAACATATTTATTTCCAAAGTCAAACAGCCGAAGCCAATTACATGACTAATTACAAAAGTGATAATCTACTTAGAATTATCTTTAGAAAAATAAAGTAGAAGTAGTAAAGTAATTATATACATTATGAGTTGAAGAAGTGTGTTGAATGGCTGAACCTAAATTGCCGGTGAAATATTCACGAGTGGGCTAGTATGCTAGTAGAAATGAATTACCGTATCATATGTTTGCGTATCAATTCCATAGTATCATTAAAGATGTCCAGATAACAAAGTATTCTTAATTATATTCTTCAATTGTTCGCTTATTTTCTGGATGGAATGGAATCTTTTCTTTGAGATGAAGGTATTATTGAGCCCTATCAATTGTCATAAATTCAAAATCAATTCATCGATAGGTTTCTTTAATTTTCGAATTTTTTCGATAATCGGTCGTCCCACGATAATTTAAAAAAATGTTCTAAATTGATTGAATGATGGCTTAAAAAAATTGTTTGGATGTCCTTTTGACCGAGCTCAAAGATGAAGGTCATTGCAATAATCGTCATTTTGATTTGTTTGAAAATTTGCAAAATTTTTGGGCTTTTTGAAAATCAGAATTCCGGGTATATTTTTAACGGTTTGTGGCAATGATGATTGAATAATTCAGGAGCGAAGCGGTAAACCGGGTTAAGTCGTTTTTTACTATTGGCTAGTTTTTGACGAATATCTCTTTTTTTTTGTTATATTTAACGAATATCTCGGAATCTAAAAGAGATAGAAAAATTTTTGTTATGACCTTTTTTGTAGAACTAATAGAGCGTTATAAAAAAAGTCTTGAGAAAAATTTTGCTATCTCTCTTAGATTCCGAGATATTCAGCAAAAACTGGCTAATAGTCAAAATCGACTTAACTCGGTTTACCGCTTCACTACTGAATTGAATAATTTCGAAATTCTAACTTATTAATTTAGTAATTCTGGTTTTTATTTTAAAAAATGAAAGGTCCAATTTCTGAAATTTGGAATTCTTCATTTAATTCATCTTGAAGAGAATAAATTTACAGAAATTTCTCGAAAGACCATTCATGACCATCTCTTGACATTTTCTCCACCTCCACTAGCTCCAACGATAATCATTAAAACCCTCGCCAAAACCTCCAGATTTACCCTCCATCAATTAATGGTTAACAAATCCATTCGTTCCCCGTTTATCGATCACGACCATTCTCGGAGCAATGAGACAACTGTATGTGCTCCAATATTCACCGCGACAAGTGCTCGTACGCGAACAAAATTGATTGAGAGTCACTGTGGAAAAAAAACGACAAGGGAATTGCATGCTGATGTCCTATCGCAGCTTCCTCTCACTCGCCAAAACAATCTCTCGTCAATTGTCCCGAGCCTAGGCGAATCTCCTGGGGCCGTGAAAAATCTGCCCATGTGTCGAGGTCAAGAAACGTCGGGTTCCTCGATTAATATCGTACGACACATGGCAAGAACTAACAAATGAATAATTCCGACGATTAAATGATAGCTGGACTCACCTTTTTCGTTTGATGTAAGGATCCACAACCTCAATCCTTCGTTTCGACATATTCACTGTCGAATTTCCACACACGGAGGACCAACTGTCCACGAGGGATTTTATCGGGAAAAACGTGTTCAGTCTATTGTTTACGAAAAGTAAAATACACCGCGAGGCGTCACAAAATGGCAAAGGGCTCCGCTCCGACCCCGGGAAACAGAGATGAGAGGATTTTTTAGTTGCGGATATTGAGCACAGATGGGAGTGACGTTTGTTGGCGGCAAAATACAAACTTTGTGAGCGAATTTATTGAGATCCGATCAATTAGCCCCTCATGTATAGATATTCCAAATTTTTATTTTTTTCCTCATTGAAGTAGTTTTGAAATAAATTGCGAGCTAATAAAAAATATTTGCTAGTTAGTACCTTTTTTTAAATAAATTTTTGAAATATCACCCCTGAAAAAAAATGCGTTTTATCCCCCCTGTTTCATTGTTTCCAAAAATTTTTATCACCAATCGGTAGCAAATTGTTTGAAAATTTTTGCGAGTTAAGAAAAAATCGTCAATGCACTCCTATTATTGTGTAAATTAACAATTCCAATTTCAACTGAAAACCAGAGTTGATGACCAGAGTTTGTAGCAGAGATGTCAGACAAGATATGAATGTTTTTTTTGGCTCAAATGAAAGAGCGGGTCGAGAAATGGCGTGCAGAAGTCTTTAAAGATGACAAATCTCTCTAAAGATGATGTCTGTTTTCAATTGAAAAGCGCAATTGTGACAACATTTTCCAGTGGGTTCTAGGAGTCTCCCCTGGTTCAACACCATCTTTAGAGGTCCTAGCACGCCATTTCTCGACCCGCTCTTTCGTTTGAGCTCAAAAAAACATTCATATCTTGTCTGACATCGCTGCTACAAACTCGGGCCTACAACTCGGGCCTTCAGTTGAAGGCCCGAGTTGAAGACCCGAGTTTGTAGCAGCGACGTCAGACAAGATATGAATGTTTTTTTGAGCTCAAATGAAAGAGCGGGTCGAGAAATGGCGTGCAGAAGTCTTTAAAGATGACAAATCTCTCTAAAGATGATGTCTGTTTTCAATTGAAAAGCGCAATTGTGACAACATTTTCCAGTGGGTTCTAGGAGTCTCCCCTGGTTCAACACCATCTTTAGAGGTCCTAGCACGCCATTTCTCGACCCGCTCTTTCGTTTGAGCCCAACAAGACATTCATATCTTGTC